AAAGGGTTCGTTCCTACCCTCACACACCACTCGAGAATTTGTTGAGGATTGAGCTTGAGAAAATCCAAGCTCTGAAGATATGTCATGTTCATGAGAGTCCCCCCCCCCCCCCCACAATTAGTGAACCTTTCACTCCTAGCCTCACTAAACCCGACCTTTTCCACCGCTATCCTAATAATGAGGCCTCTTAGTCGGATAGGGGTCTTAGTCGAGCCACCACTCAAGGTGGCGTGCCTACCTAAGGGGTTAATAATGTATTTTCCAATGTTTAAACTCCTGTACCGAAGAGAAAACTTTTAAATCTGAGACAGAGAGTCAAGGAGATCTTGTTATGCTTTTAAAAAAAACATACTCATATATAGTAATTAAACTGTGTAAAGTATGTGGTTTAATTGTTTGTACTCCTTGTTTTATTGTAAAAAATAATTTTTGTTTACTTCAAGTTTGTATTGTATTAGAGTTGGAAGTTTGGAACTCTTGAAACTTAAAAGTGTAGTATATTATTATTATTATTATTATTATTATTATTATTATTATTATTATTATTATAAAAGAAACAATGTATTTTTTCTTTCCAATAAATAATCAAATAATATTATATGATTATAACAATAATTAAACTATGGTGAAAATCAATATTAAATGGCATAGGTTATATGTTCACCAATAAATAATAATAATACATACAGGATAAAACGCAATAATTAACAATCAACGATGTTATTAACCAAATTAATAGGGTCTCGCAATTTATTAATTTCAATTATACTTGTATCCATAGTGAAATTAGCATTAATATTAAGTTCATACCTCTTGATAATTGATCTAATGTTGTAATACTAATTCAATCAAACTCCTCCAATTCTAATTGAATAAATAAAGTCAATCAATAATAGGAAATTAACATGCACAATCAACAATTATTAAAAAAATATTCTTTATATTATTCATGGATCCCCATGAACCCCTAGAATTAAGCTACACATAATTGAAACTAAACTACTTAATCAAAGCAACTAGATAAACATCATGAAATCAATAACAAGAAACTAAAATAAGCTAAATAAACGTGCTTAGATAATAACCTAATTAGGTATATATATACTATAGAGGTAATACAAAAATCATGTCGGGTAATTCTAATCTACAAGCTAAGTTATAAAAACCACTACGCTCGATCGGCCCGAGTGCCTTTTTCGTTCTTCATAGAGTTATGGTCGCTTAATTAGGCAAAGTTAAATGATTGGGCTCGGATGCCTTTAGGCCTTCATTGGAGACTTAGGATCTTCTACATTTAACTCTTTGCATTCTAGAGCCCAACAATTCAAATTTAATAAAGTCGGCTTTGTCTTAATCTGTTGCTCTTTCACTTGGTCTTTGATGTTAAGCCCCTCGTTCCCTTAATCATCAATCTTGAATTTCCATGCTCGACCTTGGGCTTTGAACATCTCAGCCATACAATGCGGACCAACTCTATTGCTTTGTAATGGTCCAAAATGCTCAAAAATTTCTGCAAAATTGCAAATTCTAACAAAATGAAGCTAACTCTACGATAGCACTAGAGAACACATACATAATAGTAATAAAAATAGCTCCAAAGAGCTAAACTTAATACAAATATGACCTAGGATCAGGGTAAATAAAATAGACACGTTAGGTCCAATGGACCCACTTGGTGCCGGCCCACCAACATTTGTCGACCCTTTGGCTACCCCTGTCAGTCATCACCTTTCGTAGCCCTATCTTCTCTCTCCTCTTTTATTTATATTTTAATAAAATGCATTCAAGCAAAACTATTGAATGAAATAATGGTCTGTTTGGATTTAAGGATTTCATTTGAAATTCTGGAATTGGGCCAAATAAGTTGTTTAAATAACTGAGGAATTTGGATTTGTATTTAGCCCACATTCAAGCCCTTACAAACATAACTGCAGCTTTAAGAATTTGAAATTCCAATACAATCGACGTAATTTCAAATCCATGTTTCTCTCACCACCACTATCCTTAACTATCACCTCTTGCCACAACAATTCTTCGTCTTCCACCATCGCTTAAATACTTCAACCAAGATGTCTAATCACCAGACGCCATTGCAACGCCGTCTAAGCTACCTTCACCATCGCAACCATTGTACGTAGTACATCTGTCGCCATTGTCGACCCCCAAAATACATCATTATTTGAACAATTGTTATACAAATCATGTTGTTTACAAGATTTTGGCTCGATTGAAGCAAGATTCAAGCTTTGTAAAGCTTTAGTTTCACCAAAATTAAGATACTTCATTAATTGGAAGGTAAATTCATGATTTTCATTCTAATAATCAATTTGGGGTAAAAATTGGGATTTATAATCTTATATAGAATATTTGATTTCGGATTCACTTAAACACAATCAAAGTGTAATTTAAAAAGAGAACACTATTAATAAAAATAGCATAAAATTGATTTGTTTTTTTATACATTTGGAAGAAGTTGACGATAATTAAACGTTCCAACTTTAAATTGATAGTCAGTACAAATTAGTCAGTTTTGTTTGTTAATTTTTCGTTTCAAAATTTTGTTTAATCCTTCAATTAGAAATTATACACTGGTTAATTAAATAGTTTCAGTTTTTCAATGTTTAATTACTCTACATATTTGTAGAAAATAGATCTGATGGAATTTGAAATCCAAGAATTGAAATTTTAATATTTCCCAAACGAATATTCTGGAATTGAATTCTAAAAATTTAAATTCTGAAGTTGAAATCTTTCATTTGAAATGAATTATGTATATCCAAAGGATTCCAAACACAACCTGAAGTAAAATGCATTCAAACAAAGCTAATTCAATAAAATTAAATGAAATGCATTCATGCTTAAATTTTAGTTGAGGTAGGTTTTGATTACTATATGTTCTAGTTTATAAGTATTGAATTATATTTATATGTGAACACATATGCATACATTTTGAGAACAACTTATTAAATGCTAGAATATGGCTGGTATATCATTTCTTGTATATGAGGTATATGACGACGATGTTAAGAAGATGTTCGAATATAATACAATTATTTGCGTATTTACATGAGAAGATGTTGAGGTATGTGGGGAAGAATCTTGTGATTGGGTGATTAGGGATTACACAATGCCAATTTCTATTTTTATCGTAATTAAATTTAAATATAATAATAAATATTTGTAAAATATTCTCTTTCTATATTTAGAATATATTTGTTAAAGAATATATTTTTTTACAGCTCTCAGATACCTTTAATTATTGTGTTAGTTACTCTCATTGTAAAATTATAAATATTAATTAATGAAGATCACGTTAGTAGAGCTATATATTATCTTACAACTTTAAAAACGTTCAAAATCTAATACCATGTTATATTAGCTCTTGTAACTTTTTGATTTCCTATTACTATTATTCTTGTTTGCAATAAATGATTTTACACTCTAACGAACATGTAATGGGCTTGTGCTAGGTTGTGTCATATTTTGCTAATCCAACCCACATACAACTCTATTTGAGTGTCTATGGACTATGGCTGTAACGGATTATAATATTTGAAGCTCTCCCAATTTATACGGCATGGTTAGGAGAATACATCAAAGCCCTTGTATAACAGCATATGCCAAAACATGAAATAAATTTTTTTTTAAAAAATAATACAATTGATGATACATAATGAACACAAAAAGCAAATACAATTGACGATACAATTGTTATTATCGTTGTTATAATTATTGTTGTTATAATTATTGTTATCATTATTGTTGTTATTATTGTTTATTAATATTGTTATTATATTATTGTTGTTGTTGTTATTATTATTATTATTATTGTTGTTGATGTTGAAACAATTATTATTGTTGTTGTTGGTGTTATTATTATTATTATTATTATTATTATTATTATTATTACTATTATTACTATTATTAATATTATTATTGTTATTGTTAATGTTATTATTTTTATGGTTCTGTTATTGTTATTGTTGTTTTTATACTATTATTATTATTATAAAAAATAGTATAAAAACAACAACAATTATTATTATTTTATACTATTTTAATAATAATAATAATATTTTGATTAGTTCCTACTTCTTATTATAGCCTTGCTTCTCATTATAACTTGGTAAGACAAATATATATATATATATATATATATATATATATATATATATATATATATATATATATATAACCTTAAGTAACACCCACAAAGTGTTATATAAAGTGGTAAAAATGTTATTATAGACAATAGGTAACACTTTAGTGGGTGATACATCCGCCCATGTTACCTAAGGTCTTATGTATGTAACACTTTGGGTAAAGTATAGTAACACTTTAAAAAGTGTTACTATAAACTCTCCTATGTAACACTTTTTATGTTATAGGTATCACTTCAAAAGTGTTACTTATTATGTCTTAGGTAACACATACGTATCTTTAGTATCATTTTCATTCATATAGTAACACTTTATCCGACATTGTGTATCACTTTTACAAACTAATGTAACACCTCATTGGGTATTAGGTAACATTTTTTAATCATCTTTTGACATTTAGTATCACTATATTCGATATTATGTATAACTTTTTGCAAACTAACGTAGCACCTTATTTATTAATTGGTAACATTTTAATAAATAAGGTGCTACGTTAGTTATTATTATTATTATTATTATTATTATTATTATTATTATTATTATTATTATTATTATTATTATTATTATTATATATTTTTATTGAAACAATTATTTATTGGCACTAGCTCAAAACCGACTTAGGGCACCAGTTTAAGGGCCGAACCGGTGCCCTTAACATAAAATAAGGGCATCGATCTTCCCTTGAATCGGTCCCTTTAATGCATAAAAAAAAAGTAAAATTGATAAACAAACCATTATATATATATAAACTTAGATATTTTTATTAATAGATGCTTGTATCATTAAAATTTCATAAATATATATATATATATATATATATATATATATATATATATATATATATATATATATATGAAACAGCAACAGCTTCTTGGAAACAGAACAGCAGCAGCCCGGAAATAAAACAACAGCAGCTCGGAAACAGAGCAGCACGCAGCAGCTCGGAAACAGAACAACAGCAGCACATAAGCAGAACAGCAGCAGCACGCAACAACAGAAGCACTAGCAGAACAACAACATCACATATGCACAACATTAGTAGCACATAAGCGAAACAGCAGCAACAAGCAACAACAGCAAAATATGCAATAACACAATAATAACATATACTGCTTTCTAAAAGAGAAAATATTATTCATTACCTCATTTTGCTTGGTAACGTTAGTATAGTTTCATACATTATTGAATGTGTATCGAAGTGACGGTGAATGGGTTCATTTGGTATGGGGATTCTTGGGATTTCCCTCCATTTCACAACTGTTCAAGCCGAATTCATTAGAAAAGGCCTAAGTTGCCTGAAATTTTCATGTTCTTGAATAATAGTGAAAATCAGCTACTGAGTAAGGCTCCACCTAATTTCCACTAAGTGGAGAGAACACAAGAATGACAAGCACAGAACATTAACAACAGCAACTCCAGGACGAAAATTTGGAAGGTAGTCAGCCAATCTTTCTGATATACTCAGCCTGTTACTCAGTCTATGCTGCTTGCTTATTCACTTTTGTTTCAGCAGCCGCCCGCTTTTCTTCAGCTGTGTGCCTTGCAATAGCAAGCTTGTTCATGAACTTATCTTGTGTTTTGGCTTTCATTCTTTCCACCTCAACCTGAACAATTACAATTTGGTGATGAAAGTAGTGTAAGTATGGTAGATTGGGAGGACCATAACTAATCTTGTACACTATAAACAATTAAAAGACTTGAGCAGATATATATAATAAAAAGATATTTTCCTTTGATTCCATGTTATATATAAATCTCAAAAACCTATAGTTTTTCATACAAGTCAACAAATTTGTGACATAATCTAATATGCATGCAAATTACAGAGGAGACATTACTTACCTTCCACCACATTCTCCATCAACTTATTATGCATACGAGTTAGAAACCAAAAAGAAATTGCAGACAAAATATTTTTTAATCATTGATCTTAAAGTTGATTGATATTTTTATTGGCTTATGGTACATCTTTGATTCTTTTAATGACTTTTAATTTAGGTCCATTCTAAAACTCCTTCACAAATGTGGGTTCTTAATGGTTGCACCACTAACTTGGGAATCCCTCATTTATATCCAAGCACTTCATTATATGATTGCGGTATTGCATAACTGAACTAAAACAAAAGTATCAAAAGATGATTGCCATATAGATTTTTGAATCGTTTTGCTTTTTTACATCTTAATCTATATCTGAACAACTGCTTTGAGAATAACATAAAAAGAAAAAGAGCAGAGTAAGATGCACCAATGTACCATATTACCTGACTATTATACAAGCTTGGATTTAAGTTAAAGCAGTGGGAGACACTATCTTCCAAAGCCCATGCAGACTTACGCATTATGCCTGTCCAAATCATAAAATTCTAAATATTGCAAGAAAGCCACTAATGAATAAGTTTTACTTTTCAAAAACAGATAAGCTGCATTTCAAAATTGGTCTAACAATTTCTAAATGTCCTACGATTCTAAAATAATTGGATTTTTTTTTTTTAAAAAAAAAAGAATATTACCCATTTGCTTTTGACGTGGTGTCAACCTGAGCATGAAGCTGCCAAATCTCCAAGAGACAATGGCTACCTTGGTGGAGGCCCCTCTTTGGATCACAAACTTCATTTCAATGTCTCCTCATGTTCTTGTACCTCACTTATATTAGTATTGAAAAATCAATAAGCAATCAAAAACGATAAAATAAAATAGAAGCTATTAAAAATTTGAACAATTTTATTATTGCACCTAATTCAAGTAGGAATCAAAATCCTACCCATAAAACCCCGATTAAATTAAAGATACATAAATTAATAAATACACTATGACAAGCAAAAGAATAAAGCCTACATTCATCTGTTGAACAATATCTGTCTAGTACAACACCAATTGTCCCACTTAATGATACATAGATATTCCCATTTCAATTAATCAAAGACCTAATCAAAAACCAATACTTAAACATATAATCTCCCAAACATTCTTTATTAGTGAAAATATAACGGTTTCATTTTCAAATACAATAATGGGTAATTCCCATTTGCCATTTAAGAGCAATTAATTCATAGATTAAAAAATATTGGTCATGTATTCCTTAATTTCAATCAAAACTTATAATAATACATTAATCTCAAAATGTTAAGGGTATCCAAAAATCAATTAATTAATAGAATTGATGGAAAAAACCTGGTCCAAGATGGAATCGATGCTATTTGCCAATTTATCATCTCGCCGCTCTCTCTCTCTACGCTAAAATCAACCACCCTATATTCCTATGTCCTTATACAATTCATGATTGATGCTGCTCGTTGTTGATGTAGGTGTTGCTATTGATTTATCACATCATCTTTATCAAAATCTCACCCATCATCATAGTTTCTATTGAATTTTTATCTAGGGTTTCCTAACAGAAAGCCCCTTTCGTCACTCAACCCCCGTGCTCGTGGGGTAACCGCCTTCTTTGGCCAGTGGGTGGGGACGTAGGGTGGCCGGTGAGAGCTTCAATAGCCATTGGAGGGCGTGCCGGTGAGAGCTTCAATAGCCATTGGAGGGCGTCGGCGTGGCTGGTGAGGCGGTGAGTGAGAAACTGAGTTTTTAAAAGAGGGAAATTTGAGATCGGGTTTTGAGAAAGAGTAAAGGAGGAAAGAGAGAAGTCATAAAAAAGTATTTGTGTTTTTTTTTTATCAAATGCTACTAATATCAAAGTGTTACAACCAAATGATATATAAAACTAAAGTGTTACAATTAAGTGCTACCTAATATAAAAATGTTACAACTAAGTGCTACATAAAACTAAAGTGTTACACGAGTGTTATATATTAAATAACTTTATAACTATGAAAGTGTTACCATTTGGTGTTACCTAATGTCACTTTTGTTGTATATATATATAGATTAGTTCCTACTTCTTATTTTGATTAGTTATTATATATATATATTTTTTGATTAGTTCTTAATTCTTATTATAGCCTTGCTTCTCATTATAACTTGGTACGACAAAAGTGGATAAGAAAAAACAATCAAAAGTAGGGGATGTGATAAAGATGTGATGAGATGGGATGGGATGAAGTAGAGGAGAAAATAATATTTACAAAAAGAATAAAGGATATATGAATGGAGAGATAATAATAATAATAATAATAATAATAATAATAATAATAATAATAATAATAATAATAATAATAATAATAATAATAATAATAGTGGGCTCAGATTGTATCTCAGTTCCCCACTAATTTCCTATAAATTGATAAACTTTGTAGGGTTTTTTTCTTCTTCTTATTATAGTCTTGCTTCTCATTATTACTTGGTACGACAAAAGTGGATAAGAAAAAACAATCAAAAGTAGGGGATGTGATAAAGATGTGATGAGATGAGATGGGATGAAGTAGAGGAGAAAATAATATTTACAAAAAGAATAAAGGATATATGAGTGGAGAGATAATAATAACAATAATAATAATAATAATAATGATAATAATAATAATAATAATAATAATGCTAGTGTTGGTGCCTAGCGCCAGTTAGTCAGGGTTTGCGCCAGCTCTGTTTTTTGTGCGTCAGACTCTGTTTTGTTAATTTTATCTTTTTGGCTGATTTCTCTATAAATAACGTATTAAAAACTTCGTTAACATTCATCTACATACACCTACAATTAGTTTTCATTCGAAATTATTAATTCTCTAATTCTCTCTTAATCATTCACCAATTCTCATCAAGTTTTCTTGATTATTTCATCTCTCTCTCTTTCTCCCTTTTTCTAAACTTTGTTTTTAAATACAAATTTCCGCATTCACAAGATCTAAAAACACCTAGCCATATTCAAAGTTGCCTTCGCCCTAGACGTGAAAGGTTTAATTTCTGAGGGTTTGGTCCCAAATCTCTCTTTCAATTATTTAATTTAATTGTTTTGATTATTATTTTCCTTGAAGTTACTAACGTGTGTATTTTATTATTAGAAAGAGGTACGAAGCATCAAAGTAAGTACTTTAATGGTTTCAATTGATATTATGATGTAGAAATCATGTTTGAATTGTTATTATGATATTCCTAGTATCATGTCTAGGGTATTTTTAATATTAAATATGATTGTTGCGATGCTTCCTATGTTCTTTCTACTATTTATGATTGTTAGTATCATGCTAGGGTTTGTTATTAATCTTGTTAGTATCATGCCTAACATGAACATGATTATGATTATGATTATAATTGTTATAATTTATGATTATTATTATTTTGATGATGATTATTTTATTATGATTATAATTCAAGTGATCACCAATAATAGTTTATTTGTGCATTAAATTCAATCAACATAGATAAACAGGTTTAGGGTTAATCCTATTGATTGCATGTTAATCGAAAAGCGCACATGAATACGATCAGAATAAAGTAGAGGCCTATTATTAGGACAGGTTCAATCTCTTTTAGGTTGGATTTGTATCTTCATCCCCAAACCCTTATTTGGTTCTAGACCTTATGGAGTTGATGATCTCTTGGATCGTTAAGGGGTGTAACCTTCATCCTATGAACGGTTTACAAGTTCCTACAAAAACTTGTTGGCGACTCTTTTGCTCTATCTTCTTCCCTTTTGGACGCCACTGTACTTTAGTGTATGATCACAGTGGGGTTCAAGCTACGGGTTAACGCTTGAAATTATTCCCTACAGTTTTTGGCGACTCCAATGGGGAGGATTTCTATTTTAATTCCTGAATTTGTTTCGGCAATGATTTAGAATGAGTGGATGAGACTCGAAACGTTCTCAGTATTTCATGTGCGTAATTTTGATGAACATTATTGTCATATGCATAAAAAAGATCTCATTGGAAAGACCATCCGTAAGGAGTTAAAAACATAGGATTTTACACGTAGGAAATTTGAGGAATATCTTTCACAACTAGGACTGAAATAACACCGCGCAAAACTGAAAAATTTTATCGAGCACAGAAAGCTGTTGAGGCATGTGGGAAGTAGCGTTAGGGGCCAGAGCTTGGCGCCAGCATTTTAGTCGTAGCGCCAGACGCTAGTATTGGCGCCAGACGCTACAGCTAAAAGCTGGCGCCAGTCTTTGATTGCTGGCGCCAATTTCCTCCAATACCGAGCCAAAAATATGCGTTCTAATTTCGACCAGTTTTTCGTATTGTTTGCTCGATCCTACTTCCTGATTGAATTTTTTCTCACTTTTCTGAAACCCATATGTGTTCTACATATGGACATAACCCTCTGGGAATTCATGCTCCATCTACCCGATTGAACGCCCCGTGCAACAAAAGGTACATCCGAGATGTTGAATTCACCAAACCATGGAAGCGAGTTTTTTTTCTAAAAACTCGCAGTGTCCCATCCACTCGCGCCAACCCTTCACGGTTAGGCTTCTGCGCGGTGCATCCGGACAATTAACCATAGACTCTCTATTGACTAAACCATATCCCGAACTTTAGAGAACTAGAGCCATGGTTAGGTTGCAAACTCATTGCATCATATTGTGCCTACTTGACTAATTGTGCATTATTTGTTGTGCATATACTCTATGTGATTTTTTCCTAAACGTTTGTTTGACTTGTGTTAAAACTAAATAAACTAATTAATGACTAAAGTACTTTGTTTAATTAATTAATTAATTTGAGCTAATAAATAAATACAAAATCGAGTCATAGTTCCTTTAAGCCAACCCGTATTTTTTATTCCCGTATACTGCACAAGCGTCAACTTGTTTTGGTCATAGCCGGAGTTCTAGGAAGAACTACGAGTCGTAAAACCTATGAATCTGTAGCCCCGAGTTTTATCTTTAATTTGGCGTTGGTTTCATCCTAATCAGAGTCACAGATAAAAAGTTAAGACTAAAATACCACAGTCTGTCCAGTTTAATGCATATACGTGAAGTCTTAACTTAGTCTTTGCTTGAGTCTAGTCACATAGTCTAGCCACATGATCATGACACGAGTCTTAACATATCACTTACACTCACTAGTCTTAGCACACACTTTGATTATATGTCACCATGACCACGTCTTAGGTTCATGCATGAGTCGGTTTTTTTTGTTTTTCCGTCATTTGAGTTGGGGGGTACACTCTATTCCTAATTTTTCATATCCCTCCATCTCCATATTTTTCTTCACATTCTTCCATATTTCTTCACTTCCTCCATCCATTGCATGTTGAATGAAGTTTTAGTCAAATAATTAACAATAAATATCCCCAAATTCCTTTTACACAGTACTTGGTCGAGGAGAGAAGGACGATTAATCAAGGACAACCTCTTATTTCAGGTCTCGCTTTTTGATAAACCGATTCGTCAAAAGAGGAAGGCTAAGAAGATAATGGAAACTCAAGAGGAAGTCAATGAGCTTAGGAATCAACTGGTCACCATGACTGAAACGTTGAAGCTCCTCACACTTAAGGTCGATGACCCTGTGAAGCAACAACAAATGAACCTCATGCAAGAAAGTTTGAGAAAGCTATCTAGTGACTATAAGTTTCAGGGCATGAGTTCACAAGGGGTCTCGCTGGACAAGGAACTTCTTCCACATAAGTTCAACGCCACTGACATCCCTAAATTCAAGGCAACAAATAACCCTTACTTCCATCTAAGAGCTTTCGAAACTATAATGAACATTAAGGGTATCGATAAGAAGGTTTTCCCCTCTCTGTTCCCACTATCTCTTGAAACCGTTTTCCAACAATGGTTCTTCTCCCTTGACAAGGAGAAAACCTCTACCTGGGAATCGATAGTAAACGCTTTCATTGATAGGTACAAGTGCAATATCCAAGTTGAAACCGACCATAGACAACTTGAGATGCTAAGACAAAAAGGGAATGAAGGCTTTACTTCTTTCTTTAATAAATGGAGGGAAACTTCCGCCAAGATGATTGAGGTCCCCACCGAAAAGGAGTCTGTGAGGATGTTCATCAAGAATCTCCAAGAAAAGTATTCAAAGCACTTAAAATATCAACACAATGAATACTTTCAAGGCCGTTTATGACATAGGAATTGAAATCGAAGACGACCTTGCAAAGCAAAAAGCTACTAACAATAGTAACCACGGTGGCTGGAAAGGAAAGAAGAACGATAATCCTTCTTCCTCCGAAAACGCCCACTCTAGTAATAATGTAAGTACCTTTGACCATAATGGTGTCTTAGCCATGGACAATCAAGGATCTAAAAGGAAACCCAGGCGAGAGTTCACACCCATTGGAATGACCTACGATGCTGCTTTCGATCGTCTCTATGATCGAGGATTAATCAAACCTATTGGCCCTACCGAGGATCTAACACCAGAAAATCGATCTGCGAGATGGAATCCAAACTCCTATTGCAAGTACCATTGAGGAAACGGTCATACTACTGATGAATGCTACAGGTTTCAAAACCTCATTCAAGATCTCATAGAGGCAAATAAGATCCCATTGCCTCCAGCTAGCGAGAAGACTGGATGATGTCGGAGCAAACAACACAAGGAAGAGGCGAGCTTCAACGACAAGATTTCATGACCTCTTTTTCTATTTCTTTTTCCTTTTTTTTCCTTTCCCCAATAAGTCTAGCATATGCACCTTTTCTTTTCCTTTAGATTAATTTTGTAGTCTTTTTTTTTTCCTTTCCCCCTTTTTAATAAAATGAGCATTTATTTCCTTATATATGATCATTTCATTATATTGCATTAAAAAAAAAATCCATGTCGAATTAAGCACAAGGTATACCAATGATTTGAGGCACCCCTTGTAGCCACATCATATCACCTTTCACCCTTCAATTATACATCCTTTTTTGGTAAACCACTTTGAGCCTCGTTTAACGATAGACCTTTCTTTTTTCAACCT